GCGGGGAGTCCCCCCTGGGTGGCTCCCCGCGGTATCGGAGGAATTTGGAATTACACCCGGCTCAGAAAAAGGGCTTGTTCATAAGAAGGCCGCCCCAAAGCAGAGGGAAGACTTCGGGGGTATCCCAAGCTGGGATGGCCGGTCCCACACGAAAGAGGTCGGAAGGCGAAAATCGCGCGAACCCACGGACTCATAGGAGAGCGTATGGAGCCGAAGAGGCCAACGCCAGTGGCCGGGGTGCCATAGGGGAGCAGGTTCGCGAGGAAGCCATCTCGGCCATACCAAGGGAAGTACTGCCGGGGGGCGGGGAGGGGGGCGTAAAAAAGGTGTCTTGTGAGTGTCGTCTCGCATTGCGGCGCGCGAGTGTCTCTCGGGCACTCTAGCGGACACGCTCGGGTGAGCTCGGGTGATCTCGTGTGATCTCGGGTGATCTCGGGTGATCTCGGGTGATCTCGGGTGGTCCTCACGGTAGTGGCGCGCGAGGTGAAGCTCCAGGTAGTCGAGGCGGAGAGCGTGCTGCTTGGCCATCCGCCCAGCCATGAGCGCGGCGAGCGCCGTCGGCGGAGCAACCAGCCCGCCCGCGCGGGCAGGGAGCGGCTGCGCCGCCGCCTCGTGCGCGGAGGCGTCGTCGCACTCGTCGGCGACGTCGGCGCGCAAAAACAGGATGCCGTGGAGGGGCACGGTCTCCCCAAACGCGGCGGTGATTGGGTCGACGGCAAGCCTACCGTGCGGGTGTGCGCCGCTGACGGGGCGTGTGGGGCACTTGCGGCGGGAGCACGGGTCTCGTGCCGAGCATTCGCCGCCCCCCGGCCCCCACTCTTCTGTGTGTGATCTGGTGTGCACGAGCTGGCGAGGCGACAGACAGAGCTGAGCCTGGCGAGATACTTCCACGCCTCTCGGGGTTTCATGCTGGCCGAGTCATGCTGGGGCGAGCCCTCGGCGAGGCTGCGTCAGCTGTTCCCACAGCAGGCTGGGAGTACCTCGACAGAGCTGAGCCGGGTGTGGTGAGGAGCTGTCGAGGCGGGAGCACAGGTCTCGTACCGAGCATTCAGCGTACCACGGGAGTGCACGAGATCTGGGGAGATCTGGGGAGATCTGGGGAGATCTGGGGAGAGATGGGTCTCGTGCCGAGCGGAGTGCAACGGCTACGAGTACAAGGAGTCCGGCTGAATACGGGCGAGTGCAGTCGAATACGTGTCCTCCACACGTGTCCTCCCGAGCGCCCGTGGGAAGTGTCCCGGAACTGTCCTCCCGAGCTCCCGTGGGACGACAGTAGAACGCCCGTCTTCCGCTTCTACGGACGGCGAGCCAGCCGCGCGCGAGCTCGGCGCGCGCCAGCACCTCCGCCGCCCTCGTCCTCGAGCCGAGCGAGGAGCGCACCTCGTGCTCCGACGGCTCCTCCGCCGCAGCGGCGCGGCCGGCGCCCGAGGGGCGCATCCCTCGCATCCGGCGGCGCGGCGCGGCGCCAGAGGAGGCGTCGGCGACCTGCGTGACGGAACACACCCAACCTCGGGGCGGGAGGACGGTGTCGTGCAGAGTCTTCAGAGCGCCGCGTGAAGACGCGGGAGATACGAGTACAGACGACGGCAGCGGAGAAGGATGAGTTGTCGAAATCAGCAATTTGAAAGCCCGAGTCCGTGCTCTCGAGCGCTAGTTGGGAGACCAGACTCCGGATCCGGCTTCTAGGTTCGGCGAACCGCGGCGGCGACGAGCGCCTCCGCCTGGGCCTCGTCATCGCGCGGCGGCTCCTGGACCTGCGTGGTGGATACGCCGACATGAGGGCGGGAGGGCGGCTGTGCGGCGTATTCGGAGCACCGCGTGAATACACCGGGGTAGAAGACAGTGAAGGCAGTGGAACACAGCGGAGTGCAGTTGACTACGTGTCCTCTCGAGTGCTGGCTGGGAGACAGGAACGCGCATTCCGCTTCTAGGCTCCTGGACCCACCAGCCAACCTGCGGCGGAGGGCGGGCGGGCATGCGGCGAGCGGTGACCAGCTGCGCCGCCCGCTCCCCGTACAGCGACTCAAACAGCCGGCCGACATCCGCGTTGGCAAACTGAAAGCTGCCCAGGCCGAGGACGCTGGTGCGCGCCGCGAGCTGCGGCTGCTCGCTCGCGAGGCGGAGGGCGGACATCTGCGCCAGCGCCGCGCCCAGCGACAGGCCGACGAAGACGATCTGCTGCGGCGCGTCCGCGCCACACAGCCCGGCGAGCCAGCCGCCAAGGCCCTCGCCGAGCTGGTCCAACCGGAGGGAGGAGCCGCGCGTCGAGTGCTCAGCGTCCCACAAGTCGGCGTGGTGGCGGTGCACGCCGGCGTGCACGCGCATCGCCGCGTCCGGAAGCCACTTGACGCCCACCATCGACGAGTTGAGCAGCGCCTTGATGTCCTCGGACGGCGGCGCCGCCTGCCCGCGGCCCGGCCTCGAGGCGGCGTTGCTGTCGACGCGTGTGCCGCGAAAGGCGAGAACAAGCGTGCCGGGCGTGTGGTGCGGCGCAAACGCCACGCAGCGGCCCTCGACTCCGAACACCCCGAGCACCTTGTACCGGAACGACGGCCCGAGCTTCTCGCCCTCGGCGTCGCGGATAGAGTGCTCGACGCTGCTTCCGCACGCGTCGTGCTGCAGCGAGACGGTGTAGTCGCTCGCGAGCGCCTGCAGCGCGAGCGCCTCGCCCGTCCTGAAAAGGTGTGAAATCCACGGCACGGAGGCGTCGGCCTGCATAGCGCCGCAGGCCGTGAGCTAAGTCCTCGCGTCGTCAACGAGTGCCACAGGACCCTTGCCTTGATCGAAGTTTTTTTACAGTCGTCTGAAACCGACGCAAGGAGGACACAGGTAGGTGTGGCCCTGTGGGTGAAGTCTGGAGCTTCCGGGTGAACTCTGGACTGCCGCCCGCCACACAGGGTAACGCCCTCTGCCTCTTCGCCCGCCCTCTGCCGCCTCCGCTCTCCTCGCACGCGCTGTCGGCGCCGAGACCGGCCGCCGCTCATCCCCTCGTGTGCCACCGCAGGGACGACACCCTCGCGCGACGTCTTGAGCTGGTGCGCGTCGCGCTCGGTCGCCGCGTGCCCGCTGGCCACCGATCGCCGCCGCTCACTGCCGTCTCCTCTCCCAACCCCACCCCGCCCCGGCGGTTTGGCTGTAGAGCCTCTACAACAAACTCTACAGCAAAATCGCGCTCTACATCGCTCTACATCTGCATCGCTCTGTCCCGCGCCGAATGTAGAGCTCTACAGCTCTACAGCGCCCCAGAGCGCTCTACATCTCTACAGCTCTACAGCGCTCTACACTCTACATCCTCTACACCCTCCCTCAGCCCTGAGTCTGAGTACTGAGAGCTGGTCTGGGGCAAAATCTGGCACTTCTGGGGCAAAATTTAGGAAATCGGCAAACTACCCGGGTATTTTCTAGGTATACCCGGGGGTTTTCCAGGTACCCGCAAAATACCCCGGTATTTTGCCGATTTTGCCGATTTGGCTTTTGGGGCCGCCCAAACGCCAGCCTCAGACTCGGCTCAGAGCCCGGGAAATAGAGGGGGCTCTAGGGAAACTAGCAGGAAACACGGAAAGGAAACAGAGGGGCGAGGAAACCCTTGGACAGGCCAAGTAGGCGCGGGCGCCGCGCTGGACTCCTCGCGACCAACCTCCTGCCGACGCCGCTCGCGGCTTTGCGCTCGGACGCCATCGTGCACGAGACGGAGACGGCCGACACGATCATGGGCGAGGCGCAGCAGAAGGACTCGGCCGAGGGCACCACCGCTCAGCCCGCGTTCTTTTTTGATCGTGAGCAAAGGGGATCGCTCGAGGCAGGATCGAGGAGCCCCTAGCACTCACTTTAGCTGCGCGCTCCTGCCCCGCTAATGCGCCTCATCGTCCTTTCGTCGTTGCTCTTCTTTGGCCCAACGCAGGCCGCTCCCGTGGGACAGAAGCAAACATTCAGGGGTAGAGCGGGAGGGACGATGCTGCCTCGCTCGATCAATCTTGTAATCGGGCCTGGGCCAAATTGGGCACGGTGCACAGCTGTCGACCATCGGAAATGGAAGACGGTTGACATGGTGAAGGAATGGGCAGACTATGTGGTGTACTTCGCCAACTTCAAAGGGTTGCCCCTCCCTGATGACTCTGTTGGCGCGATCTATGCGTCGCACACGATGGAGCACACGCCCATGCACGTTTCGCCTCGTATTTTCAAGGAGTTCCATCGCGTGCTGCTCCCTGGAGGTTTTCTGCGGGTCATCACGCCCAACCCGCGGGTGACGATGCAGCATTATCTCGCCGGCGACAACAACTTCAGCCTCTTCCAACGCCGGCGTCGCATCCAGCATAGCGGGCACAATTGGACCCCTTTTGAACTGCTGCGGTCAGATTTTCTCTCCGTCTCACACCAACCAGACCAGCTTGGAGGAACAGGGCTGGCACATCAAAATGCGTGGGACGCGGAGACGATGATCAAAGACTTTCATCGCGCTGGCTTCCGCACCGCATACGAATCCGCCTACAACCGCAGCCGGAGTGGCGAGTACTCGTTCGAGGGCCCTGGCGGCTGCCATTCAGAGGCTGACCAAGCGGATCGGTCGCTCTACGTGGAGGGCCGAGCGTAGTTTGTGGAGCTGTGGAGCTCCAATCGGGGGTACACAACGCGGGGGGGAAGCCTTACTTAGCAGAGTGAAGACTTTAGGCTCAGTAGGGTAAACGCCTGCTCGAGGACGAGGTTGGTGACGTACGGGTCTCGTTCCACCGCCAAAGTCGCATGGCAAGACATCCAGCGCATACCGCCAGGCACACATGCTCGCTCTACGTGTAAGCTCCCACTCGGGCAGTGAGTGGCTCTCCTCGATGCTGGCCGGCATTGCTGTCCAAAGCAAGCAGACAGCACGCACCCCACCGAATCGCGGTGGTGTGACGACGCCTCTGCCGTGAGCGGCATGGAGGCCCCTACCTTGAGCGGCATGGGGAACCTGGTTTGTGGAGCTCCCGCACCTTACCTAGAGAGTACGGCTTTCGGGGCCATGATGTCGGTTCCCCATCGGACTTTTTTTGTAGTGGAGAGAATTGAGTAATCTTTCTGCTGTAACCAACACTGTCATCGCTGTCCTCTATTCAGTGCAGTGTCGCCTTCCTTGGCGCTTGGCAGGACGTGCTGTGTGTGTTGATTAGTTCTGGATCCTGCCTCGGCCTGCACAGAACAACCAACAAGTTCCTCTTGTAGCTCGATCGGTCACACCGCCATCGCCGTCGGGGAGAGGGGGGACGACACTGCTTTGGCAGCGTGCACCTCGATCCTGTACCGTGTTTGTTATGACCCCCCCCCAATGAACACACCAGTGAGGGAGGGCGAGACGATCGAGGGGTCCCGTACCATGCGGAATCGACCCTATCAAGTGCTCAAGATGACTCAAGTGCTCAAGAGTCAAGTCCGTCCGTGGCTCGGAGGGAGACTTCAAGACAGGAAGAGGGAAGGAGCGGGGCAACTGGGAATGTCAGAACCCCTGAGAGACGCTGGCCCAGATCCTGTTTTGACGCCGCGGTTGTGCCGGGGACTGCTGTGAGAGGCGGCCGCATGCATCTGAGACCTAGTCTGAGACATCCTCGCGCACGTCCAGATAGCGTGGATCGCAGTCAGTTGTTGCCTGCCGGCGGCGCCTGCCTGGGGCGTGGCCATCAACGCAAGTCCACCAAGCATGCTTGATGTACGTTTTGGTACGCGGTAAGTAATTGTTTTCCCGCGGATCCGAACGGGTCTCCGTGAACGAAGACTCGAAGCGAGCGAGGATCACTCTCTTGTTGGAGACTCTGTGGGAGCACTTGGAGTGCAGTTTGTCACCTCACACTGAGAGGGCGTATGTAATTCTTTTTCCCTGAGGCTGTTGGTCATTTTCTTCTTTTTAGTGTACTTAAAGCTCTTACGAACATTCATTTTAATTAGACCGAACATACCGGAGGCGAACTCGTTATTTCTTTTCCTTTGGATGGCCGGCGCGGGAAGAGCCCCCCCCCCCCCCCCCACACCCTCCTGTCCGGACAACGCGGAGCACATACCCTCTTGCTACACCCTGCAGGTGAGGGAAAGGCACAACTCAGAACGATGGGCTTGCCCATCCCGGAGTGGTTCGATCCCACACAAACCCGCGACGGTGACGGGAAGCGTCGTGCGGTGGCTCAGGCCCAGTGAGGTAGTGCGCCAGACCAACCCGGATCCTGCTGAACAAGCTCCTCTTGTAGCTCGATCGGTCACACCGCCATCGCCGTCGGGGAGAGGGGGGACCACGACACTGCTTCCCTGCAGCGTGCACCTCGATCCTGTACCGTGTTTGTTATGACCCCCCCCCCCCCCAATGAACACACCAGTGAGGGTGGGCGAGACGATCGGAGGGGTCCCGTACCATGCGGAATCGACCCTATCAAGTGCTCAAGTGCTCACACACATAACCCCTGTGCAGGGCAGTCTGCCTCACTCAGGGCGCCGCCGCCGCTGCGCGGGGCCGCCACCGGCGCTGCTGCCGTGAACACTGCCGCCGTGTACGTCACCATCGCCTCTCTTCGTCGCCGATCTCGCCGACGCCGCTCGCCGCTCGCCGCCGCCCTGCCCTGCCCCGCCCAGCCCTCGCACAAACAAACAAACAAACACACACACACACACACACACACACACACACACACACACACACACACACACACACACACACATACACACACACACACACATACACACACACACACAAAACACACCCTGCCCTCACACGAGCGCCCCGCGCCCTCCCGCCCCACGCCCTGCGCCTCACGCCTCCCTCCCCACCCTCTCAGGCATTTCTGTTCTCGTCCCCGCTACTCGCCGACTCCTCCTCCCCCCGCATGACCGACGACTACCCGTCCTTCGGCGACTCCTCCCTCTTCGGCGCCAACGTCTACTACCGGGGGACCGTCGCCCTCGGGCGTACTGGAATGATCCCAGCGGCACACGTCTACGAGGGGGGGCTCCGAAAGGTCGGCATGCCTGGCATGTCGGGCGAATAGGCAGGTCATTGACCTCCCCCCGCTTGTCCACCCGGCGTGAGGGGCGGGAGCGCAGCCACTCCAACGGCTGGAGAGTTTCTGAACGGCCGTGCATGCACTGCATGCCGGCTTACTAAGAATGTCCCTCGCTCCTGCTCCTCTCTCGGAAGACGCGCGCCGGCCCGGGGGACTCGCTTGCGATCCCGCTCCAGCCAGAGGCCGCGTGAGGCGTGTGGGGCGGTGTACGCTGGGGCTGCCTCGGCCCCAAGTGCGCTGGCCTCGCGTCTCGAGGGGAGGGCGGCTCGTAACTGAGGTTCGCCGTCAGAGACAGTCGTCCTCCCCTCAACCCGACGAGAGTGGGCGGGCAGTCCCCGTGGCTGCAGTCGCGCTTCCGAGCCGACTCCGCCCCTCTCTCCACCCGGCCATTCCAACGGCCAGGCCGCTCGCTTAAGGCTGATTGGCTAGACGAGCGGCCTACCTCCAACGGGGTATAGGTTCGGCGGCCGCCTCGATGTGGCCGTCGAGGCGGCCGCTCTCGTGCTGCTGTGCCTGTGCCACTAACATGCAGCGATGGAGCTCCACTCTGTCCGGTGCACGTCGTCAAGTGGGCACGCCGGCGGGGCCGTCACTCCGCCTGTTTGTGCGAGCACGGCGTCGGTGCTGCAGACGTTGCCGTGCTTAGGACCGATCAGAGCCACCCTGGCACGAGCAGCCAACCTTGCGTGCAGTTGC